ATATATATGGTACATAGTGAAAAATCAGCCTAAAGAAGTTCTTAAAGAGATTTCTTAATTTTTGGGGGGATATTGTGTACATTATCTAGGTAAAATGGCTTTAATTAGTGAATAATTGACACTAATAATATTCACACCATCCTCCCCCTCAATCCTCTGTATCGTCAAAATCAAGCCCCAACATTTACTGGAAAAGGGAGGCAAAATACTCCTTGGAAAATCCAATCCTCCTGTGAGGAGGTATTATTATTATCTGGAACTACATGTTGTTGGTTTCCAATGGTGTAGCACACATACTTGGATTTTCCCAGTTTAATTGCTTTAATTTTCGGTATTTTTTTATATAAGAACCTGTTTAATTTATCAGGCTGAAGAGGTTCTTATATAATAGGTGCTTTATTGGTCCAATTTCAGCCTGGAGGTTCTTAAAATCACGGGTACTTTTATGCGGGTGTTTACTGTATACGTTATGAACGTATCTACACATTGTTGTACGATGTCTATGTTTCTATTTATTACGTCTATGTAATCCGGTTTAATACCGATCCGACATGAATGACCTGAATTCCAAATTATTTATTCATTTACAGCTTCGCGTGTCGTCAGAATGTCGCCATATATGTCTGAATCCACGTCGAAGAATCTGTATTATTATTATTATTATTATTGTTATTATTATTATTATTATTGTTACTATTATTATTATTACGTTGTGTTTCGCCGCATTGTGTCCAGTAATTGACCGCTATCTGCCGAGCACCCCTACCCCTCGCGTTATCAAATCTTAATTCGTTCCTCTCGTGTTGCCTGCAGCAACCCCCGCCAATCAATAAATGCATCAGCAGGTACGCGTAGTACGGCCAGGTAAATAATGTACGTCTGCCTGTCTAAACGCTGTATGCTGTAGTTTCACTCGCCCGCATAAAGACTGGTTGAAGCTATATGCCGACTGAATGAAGAAAGGATGCAGTCAGATCACCTGCGAGAATCTAATTTAAAGCTGCAATTGTCGAGTCGCCTGCAGAAACGTGGACAAGGCTATATAGCGCTGACAATAGATTCGAGCTAGTCCGTTGATCGTATATCCTTTGTCTACGTGTAAGCCTTCGGTCAACCTTTCCGCAGGCGGTTTAACCCCGTCGATGGTTTATCTGCAGGTGCAATCACAGATATAGAATATATATATGAACATATATAGAATATCTATATTTTATCAAGAGCGTATTAAGCAGCTTTTTAATACGCTCTTGATTTCATCTGTAATCCGTATCAGTATTCTGTATCTATGATGTAATCTGAAAAAGCTATACACATCGCACGTGAATGAAAGATGTTTGAAACAGTCGGATTTATCGATCGGATTTATGAGGAATATACGACAAGACAGGTTTCATGATTTTAAACTATGAAGAATATATATATTTCACGCGTGGTATATATTGCCCCAGTCTTTGGTCGGGGCTTTCGGCAGTGGGGTCAGTCTAACGGATTGACACAAAATGCAAATTAACATTCAAAGACGAATTACACTTAGAAAATCTCGCATGTCACTTTAGACTTTGTATCTTGTTACAAATTTCCATTAGAATTCCCCCCCCCCAAACACACACTACACAATCAGACAGCCACAACACCTGTTTCTAGCTATACAAATAAACTAGTATGTATTATACGCTGATTGTTCGAAGGCTGAAGCTGCCAAATATTTAGCTCCAATCATTATAGAATTCCTTAGCTTTAGCCGTGTACATCCCTTCGCTCCACAGGGGACACAAATAGAGCTAAGTACCCCTCAACTTAGTTCTAGTACTACAGGCCTGTGGCGAACGGGGTCTATAGTACTAGAGCTACCCTCAACTACACTATACTTATGACTATACACAATGTAGTAAAGACTATATATATAGCTACTATAGAGCCAATCGAAACCTGGTTACGAAAATAACGTTTGACGATTTTTACCACGAGAACCGGTAATTATTTTCGCAAGTTATCAAAATTTATCAGGTTCCCTATCACGCAAGCGATACAAACTAACTATTTGTATTTACAAAAGTAGGGCTTCAAACGGCCCTGAATATATAATTACTCGATTTAATTTCATAAAATAGCTTCTAAAAGTGTGTGCTATACGCACATAGACGTCACCAAATATATTTAGACGAATTCAGCTTTATATATATATATATATGTATATATATATATATACACACACCTACAGATATGTACAAAACGGCACGTGTAAATTGCTGGTACATTACATGCACCAGTCGCTCAATTATGTACAACAGTTCATAGGTAAGCTCTGAAAATTGGTCAGTGAAGACGATATCGAACAGGAAAAGGTTGTCAGAAGCCAACTTAGTCTTAACATTAGTCTTAGCATGAGCTTTTTTTCTCGTAGACGACCTCTATATACTCGAATGCGTAACTTCTTCATGTTTCTGTCAGGGGTCCATTCGAGCTGATGTTAATTAAGAGTGACTAATTAAGAGTAATTTAGTTTTTGACAACGAGGCCCAGATTTTGAATAACGCATTGATGGAAAGTTGATTGGTGGTGTTCCAAGGCCAACCGGCCAGTTATAAATCAAATGGACGGGTTCCCATTGCCCTGTAGCTATAGTGTTACAGAGTTAAGATGGCCTCAATGTTTATGTGTGCCCCAAAGTTAATAATAATAACATGTGTGAGCTCACACTAACTAAACGGCCTCTAACCATGTAAGCCCTTCTGTGTGCGTGTGTGTGCGTGCGTGCGTGTGTATATGTGCGTGCGTGCGTGTGTGTGTGCGCGCGAGAGAGAGAGAGAGAGAGGGAGACGGTCACAGGTATCGTGTTTAACGAATCACCTCACGCTGACGTGTGAGTGAACGAATGCAAACCTTATAGACAGCAGTGCACGCATGCGATTAGCTCTAGAACTCTAGCCCTTCACTATAGGCTATAGTTCTAGAGCTAGCATGCGATGGGCTACAAATCTATAATATGCCTGCCTACCACAGAGGGAATGGGCGTGTGTCCGCCCCCCCCATCCGTAAAAGTTGGGCCAACGATAAATGCATGCGACTTATTTAAAGTCGGCCATCTTTCCACTTGACTCCCTCACCCATCAACTTCTCAAACCCCTCACAACTCATCAAGCACAGTAGTCGTGTGTGACACATCGTACGGACGTTGACACAACGGGTGACCGTGTAGTACTTAATTCGAACACAAACTAACACACTGCACTTATGTAACGCGATCCGCGAAGACAAGCCCGCATGTTGGTCGGACACAAACAACACGAGACCGTAATAGTACCACCGATCCGTGACTCAATCCTAACACACACATACACACACACCCAAGATAAATATGCGTGCGACTTGATGCTAGCACGCTAGTAATATTGAGACACGACCAAACCCCTAATACAAGCTGCACAACGAGTTAATAACACGATATTAACACAGTGGGCGTGTGTAACACAGGCCAACTATGCCGATGTGTCATTCGATTCTAACCCGCCCACGCAGACATGCACACACGCGTCGGCGCACGTACGCACACACGCACGCATACGCACACACGCACGCACGCACGCACGCACACACGCACGCACGCACGCACGCACGCACGCACGCACACACGCACACACGCACGCACACATTCGTACACACGTTCACTGTTTCTCTGGCCTCTGCCTCTCTCTCCTCTGTTTCTCTCACAGTTTATCATCGCTCTCTCTCTCTCTCTCTCTCTCCTCTCTCACAGTTTCTCTGACCTCTGGTTTTCTCACTCTCTCACAGTTTCTCCTCTCTCTCTCCTCTCTCACAGTTTCTCCGCGCTCTGCGCCGCCTCGTCGCCTCTCTGCATCTCATCATCCACGGTCGACAGCTGTCCGTCACGGAACACCCGATAGCGGAAGCGTCGCTTCACGCGGTCGCCGATGTTGTGTCGCGCGCGGTACACGAACACGACGACGACGACGACAACAAGAAACGCCGCGACGCTGACGGCCGCGGCGATGACGCGATGATCCGTCGGATGGTAACTGCAGACGTACTCGCTCGCGCGCGTGTCGCGCACTACTTTCTTGTACATGCGCGCCGGCGAGTTGCACGTGACCATGGCGAGCAGCGCATGCGTGGTGTTGCGCGCCGCGCGCATCATGGCGGGCATCCAGGAGAGGTCGCAGTCGCAGCGCCACGGGTTGCGTGTCAGGTCGACGAGCGCGAGGTCGTTCCACGGCAGCAGAGCGGCGTCGAGGTTGATGAGCTGGTTGTCGTGCAGGTAGACGTGGTCGAGAGAAGTTAGACCGGCGAACGCTCCCGTCGCTATCTGATTCAGCTTCGCATTCGAGGCGATCTCGAGCGTGCGGAGCCCGTCTAGGCCCGAGCTGAACGCGTGACTTTCGACGACCTTCAGCAGCGGACAGTGGTTGAGACGCAGGTGCTGTAGCCATGGCAACGCGGTGAACGAGTCCGGGTGGATTCGGTCGTACCTGAAAGAGGAAGTTATGTCACACGTCAACGTGGCGACACAACAACCACACAGCAACCACACAAACACTGGCACGCACTCACACACACGCTACACGCGCACACACACGCACACAAATGCGCGCCCACAAACACAAACACACATAAACACACGCCACACGCACACACACGCGCGCACACAAACACAAACACAAACACACATATACACACACCCACGTGCGGCGCGCGCACACAGCAACACACACACACACACACGCGCGCGCGCACACACACAAACACACTGTAACAGAAACACACGCACGCACACACACGCAAGAAAAACGCACACACACAAACACAAGCAAAAACGCACACATTCCGTTATTAAAATTAAAATTACATAAAAATACATTACGTAATATAATTTAGTTACATTCCCACCACACATACGAAGAAGCAAATTAAACGAACAAATAAACAACCAAAACAAACAGACAAGCCCGAAATACGCAAAGCAAATCAACCTGAGCGGCTCACCTGTTGCCACTCATGTCTAGAACCTCCAGCCGCGTCAGTTCCTTGAGCGCATCGATGGGCACGTACGTCAGGTAGTTATTATACAGCGTGAGCTTCTTCAACCAGGGTAGACCCATCAACGCCCAATCGGAGACGAAATCGATCTCGTTGTCGTGCAAATGCAGCTCCTGTAGCGACTTCAACCCGTGGAAGGACGTCGATCGCAGATTCTCGACGATGTTGTAGCTGAGATCCAACATGATGAGTTTATCCAACGTCTTCAGTGCGCTGCTCGGAATCAAACGCAGCCGATTGTTGCCTAGCACCAGCGTCACGAGCTGACTCAGTCCGGCGAACGACACTGATGTCATTCGCGAGCTGGTAAGCATGTTGTGCGAGAGATCGAGCGTCAACAGACTTCCCAGATCGGAGAACGCACCGCCCGGAACGTACGCGAGGTTGTTGTCGTTCAGGTAGAGAACGGCGAGGCTGGAGAGATTCGCGAACGTCGAGGGCTGAACGGAGGAGATGGCGTTGCGGTTGAGGCGCAGCACGCGCAGCCGCGAGAGGGCGCTGAAGGCGTGCGGCTGCAGCGCGACGAGCCAGTTTTCGGACAGGTCGAGCATCTCTAGTTGTGAGTAGGATTCCAGCTCGTCGGTGATGCGCTCTATGTGGTTGCCCCGCAGGTCGAGCTGAAGGATGTCCGGCGGCAGGAAGCGAGGCAACGACGTCAGGTTGGCGTTCTGTTAACGGAGGAATAGTATGAGTGAGAGATGATGATGATGTTGACGACGACGATGATGATTACGATAGCGGCAGGATCCGATGTCAAGTTGGCGTTCTGTTACGGAGGAATAGTATGAGTGAGCGTAAGAGCGGGAGGGCGTGAGGATCACGGTGAGGATGCTGGTAAAGAAAAAGTATTCTCTCTCTCTCTCTCTCTCTCTCTCTCTCTCTCTCTCTCTCTTTCTCTCTATGTCTCTCCTCTCTTTCTCGATCTCTCCTCTTTCTCACACTTGCTCTCGCTCGCTCATTTCTCTCTCCGCTCACCCTACCTCTCTCTCTCTCACTCTCTATAACTCTCCCTCGCGCTCTCACTCTCTATCTCTCTCTCTCTCTCTCTCTCTCCCCTCTCTCTCTCTCTTTCTCTCTATGTCTCTCCTCTCTTTCTCGATCTCTCCTCTCTCTCACACTCGCTCTCGCTCGCTCATTTCTCTCTCCGCTCACCCTATCTCTCTCTCTCTCTCCCTCTCTATAACTCTCCCTCGCGCTCTCACTCTCTAGCTCTTTCTTTCGCTCACAGTCGTTCGCTATCTCTCTCTCTCTCTCTCTCTCTCTCTCGCTCGCTTTCCCTGTGTGCGCGCGCGTGCGTGTGTGTGTGTGTGTGTGCGTGCGTGCGTGCGTGCGTGCGTACGTGCGTGCGTGCGTGCGTCTATCTCACTTTATGAATACATTCACCGAATATTATTCGTGTCATATATATACCCGACATAGCGATGATAGCAATATATTGCCGCGTCTTTCACTTCGCCTTTCACACACCTTACAGGGGTTGGCGCAGCGTAAAGATTTTGGACGAGGTTGTTACGATTATGGATTCATTCTTGCTCCATACATGATACAGTACTGTACGTACTGTACGTATAAGTGCGCTGCGGGCGCTACAGACATTTATATGATCAACGAAGATCGTCTGCGCCAACATGCGCGCGCACCGCGTCCGCCATGTCTACACGTACGTCTCTATTCTTCTTTTTTTCTTTTCTGTTCTATATTTATCTTTCTAGCTTTGTAGCTTTTTGTTCCTCTCTGTCATGTTATTTCCGTTTCGTTTCTGCTCTTTCTGACAGTTTCATATCTTTTCCATTTCGTTGACCGAATTTTGGAGCATGTTTACGCGTGTATACATGGGCGACTCGATCTCTAGCCTTCCCCTTCTCTTTTTCGTCTCACCCCTCTCTCCATTTTTCTCCCCTCTCTATCTATTTACCTTTCTTTTCTTCTTTCTCTATCTCCCTCTCGCGCTCTCTTTCTCCCATTTACTCTCTTTGTCTCTCTCCTCACCGCTTTCTGTTTTTCTCTCTTTCACCATCCCCTCTCCCCCCCCCCCTTATATCTCTCTCTCTCTCTCTCTCGTACTGACTTTCTCTCTATGGCGTTTTCTTTTTTTCTCCTAAATCGAGCCCGGCGGCGACGTTACACGCTACACTGTGCACCTGTCTCTGATTTTTACACAGCCTCAGTAAACTACCCCGGCCGCCATATATATGCACTGCGGATCAACGCTCCCCACCAACCCCAACCCACGGCACCAAGGGCGCACTGTATCTGGAAATACCAGTTTTAAGCTGCGAGGTGGAAGGGCGGTCACGATCAGTGGGTCACTAAACATCTCTCTAAATAATATCTCTCTAAAGATCTCGGTGTGCGTGATGCGAGAATTACTGCGTGAGGCTAATTGGGTCTATATATGTCCCCCAGGGTACTGCCGGAACGTACCCTGGGTACGGTCCGGTATAC